ATATATATATACATATATATATATATATATATATATTTGTATTTATAATGGTATTTGTATATCTAACATTTGTTATAGTGACAATTAATATTTATTTATATTTTAAAAAGTATATTTCATGTTAAATCAGATTATTTAATAAAATATCATATAATTAATTTTAAAATTTTATAAAACATTATAGATTTAATCTACTCACTGCATTATTTTAATTTAATGTTGAATTAATAAAATTAATAAACTGTACAAAGAGTTATTCAAGAGAATAACTTCATTGAGAAATAAGAATTACTCTCTTAGAATAACTTCATCATTTTTCTTGTTCAAAATTTAAAAGGTTACTTATTATATTAAAATGTATAAAGATATGAGACATTATTATATTAAAACAATAAAATCATATAAAACAGTAATTTACATAATATTTTTCTTTCTCTCTCTATGTTACATTGTTTCTCTTGCTAGTTTATTTTTCAAAAGGTGTATAATTCTGTTGCATAAATACAATATGTTTGAAAATATATTGCAAACAAACTTATGATAAGTTAATAATTAGTCAATAAGATATGTATAAAAATCATTAAATTAATATAAAGTGAGATAAAATTACTATAATAAAATGTTAATAGTAGTTTCCTTTGCATTTCCAAATCGAATATGTCAGTTTTGACGCAGGTAGCTGAAAAAATTAAAAGAATATTTGTTAATAATTCATTAAAACACAATTAGACTTAGTGTATTACTAAATTCACACAAATAAACTCATTTTTTTTCTTTCAATTCTAACGAAGTGGCCCCTATCACTTGAGTACAAAAATTAATTATTACTTGAGATGGACAACGTTATCTTGAATAGTAAATTTTGAATATTAGACATATCAGATAATACTTGTCTTGGCGGGACTTTAGCTTAGCTTGACAATATTGCATTCTTTAGCTTGAGATGAAAAAGACCTGATGGTTCCTTTAACCTTTTATTAGTTTCAGTTTCTAGCTAGAAAAGTGAAGAATGTCTTAAAGAATGTTTTGCTTCCTCTTCCTTTATTTTTTCACAGGGTCAATGTCTTCTCTATTTAAACAAATATGCAACACGAATTGATAAATTCCCCTCACTATATAAAATGAAATAAAATATATAAAAATTGCACTTACGCTGGAATAGAAATATTAATCGTTCTCATTCCTTAAACCAGCTATAGCTGTCGGTGCTCGCCAAATTCTAAGTTTTTTTTTTTTAAATATACAATAAATTTATATGCTATATTAAAGAAAGCCAGCATCAACCAAAAAAACAAAAATACACAAGTTACAAAAGAAGCAGTACTTATTATGTGACAGAACATGGACAAATCAATGAATTAAAACTGATCAAAATCCAAAGAAGGTACTTGCATCAAGGGTTTCTCACCTCCATGATCAACCTGCTGCTGCTGCACACTGAAACCACCAGACCCCACTTGAGGAGAACTAGACTCATTAGCTTGGGTTTGATCTTGTGGCACTTGCTCATCAGGATTCTCAGGTGGATTATCATTCAATTGGCTTTCAGATTGTAGAACAAGTTTTCCTTGATTATACAAACAGCTCAATTGATGAAAGTAGGGACAGGTCCTCGAGTCAAGGGACCTCTTCTTATTAACATCCTTAGTTTTCCTGAAGTACTTGTTTATGTTCTCCCACTTCTCTTTGCACCTCTTTGCACTTCTCTTATATCCCAACTCCGACATCCCTTGTGAGATTCTCTCCCACAGAGGGACCTTGTTCCCTTCCTTCTCCTCATTGTTGTTGGTCACACTAGAGCTCCTCAGGTTTATCAGTGCCAACACTTCATCCTTTGGCCACCTTCTCCCAGTATCGTCCTTCTCATTGCCTTTATTCATAATCGAATTTGTCTCTAGTGGATTATTATGTAGAGAACCTGAACTAGGGTTCTGCGGAGCTGGAGCAGAAGTAGAAGAAGAAGAAGGAATAACTTGTTGTGATGTGTCTTGTGCAAGACTCAAGGTAGGGTTTTCTGTTGGGGTGTTTTGTGAAGGATTAGGGTTTTGTGTTGCAAGGTATGTGTTTAGGTTTGAACCACTGGTTACCTTGAGGGTTTGGCTTGCAGGGGAAGTGGCTGAGAATTTGTTCAAGATTTGAATAATGTTGGCTTGTCTATCACCTGCAATAGCTTGCTCACGTGCCATCATGTCAAGCTCCTTGTTCATCTTCTCCATCTCTTGCTTCTTCCAAGCTTCCTCTCTCGTGAACTTCTCTTCATCTCTCTTCATCATGTCCTCGAGAAGCTTGTTGTGCATCTCCTCTTGCTGTGCCATCATCTTGTGCACAATGCTCTCACAAAAACCCTTGAATATCTCAAATCTATCAGGCCTCTTCCTCTTTCGCTCCTTTGTCTTTTTCACTGCGTCGTCGTTTTGTTTTGCCACAACGTTTCTCGAATCCCCTTCTTCCGATGCATGCTGGCCCATCTTGTCTTGTTGCTGAGTCTTTTCTTCTGTCACAGCTTGGTGATCACCACCCCCACCTTGATAAAGCTGTTCAAGCTCACTAAGAAACCGATAATTGTTGTTGGTAGTGGTGGTGGTGTTATTATTCTTGCCGAAATTAATGTTGTTGAAATATCTACTCTCTTCTTCAAACTTCTCCTTGCACTTCTCTGCACTCTTCTTATATCCAAGCTCTGCTAGCTTCCTGCGCCCACACCATAAATTATATAAGTCCAAAAACCAACCATACAATGAAGCATCTACATATTTACACCAACACTTAATAATAATAGACAAAATTTCTTCCTTTCTTCAATTTCCATCCCTTCCTTGCTCTTGGGCTGTGTGTGTGTGAAGGTGTCAGTGTTTAAGCTAAAGTGTAGGTGCACGTGTGCGTTTGTCTACCATATGAAGGATTTAGGTAGCATACGATGCAACCACACTGATCAAGAACAAAGGGCAGCTCATAATTAATTTTCTGTTAAAGAGTTTATTGCCATGATATTTCGGGTGATCAAACGTTTAATTAACAAAGATGATCAAGAAGTTAATAACAGCAAAACGAGGTTGAATTCTTATAATAGGAATAAGTTACCTTGAGACATGTTCCCAAGTGAGCTCTGGGAACCAACTTTCCATGCTAGATCTGATCCTCAAGAGTGCGAGCACTTCGTCGTTAGTCCATGGATCAACGAGCTCGGGTAGTTGTTGTTGTTGCCTTTGATCTCTTTGGATTTCGAAGTTCATAGGGACGGTGCTAGTTTCTTCCTTCTCTTCATGATCTTTATGGTGTAATGGGTGCAAGAGATTGGGTTGGAGTGGCAAATTGTGAGAAGGGTTATAAGGATCAAAATTGGTGGGGAAGGTGGTATTGGGGGCGGCTGAAGCATGGAGAGGGAAAGGTAAGTGAAGTGGTAGTGAGGTCCTTGGAGTTATGAATTGGTGGAACTGGTCTGGTACTCCATCGAACATGTTTGTGTTTTGTGTTAAGATTTTCTCTCTTCTTACCTCTTCTTTCCTGTGCTCACTGTAAATCAGCAAAATGCTATAAGCAACTTACAAAGCACGCACCAACCTCTTTCTCTCTCTGATTTCTGTCTTTCTCTCTCACATTTATCAAAGAATTTGTCCTTGCATGGAAGGAAAAGATAGCCCACCACCACACCCTTTTGGAAGAAAGTGAACTCACACCTCTAGCTAACAGATAATATTCTATAATATAATAAAAATGTGGTTTCCTTGAACAAGTCAATCAAACCACGTTACAAGTAAAAAGGCATATTCATATTCAATGCATTGTAGCCCTTTTCCCATTTTCATATAAAATCCAAAGTCATCTTTATCATGCATTGCAATTTGCAATTCCTTCCGGTGAAAAAACTTTAGGATGAGTATCACCCTCACAAATCACATGGTTTAAGAGAGAATAATAGGCGCCACTATATACATCACAAAGGGATTAGTGAGACTAAAGACTCAAACGATTGTGTTCGTGATGGTGTTAGCGGTTTGTATTTAATGGGGAAATGAATGCTATTGCTTCAATAAGAGGCTATCGCTTCAATAAGAGGGAAAGAAGAAAGAGAGGGGCTATTAAATATTAATTATATCATGTGATGTATGATTGGGGATTGAAGACACGCGCTTGAGGGTGAGAGTGGTTGGGAGGGGACTGAGGTGGAAAATGATACTTGGAAAAAGGAAAGAAAAAAAAATGAAATAAATAGTTTTGGTTGTCACTGGGCCACTCGAATCCTATGCAGTAGCTGATGCTCATGATGGTGTAATTAACGGCATCCGAATGGCAGGACACGTGAAAACATGCAGAGGATGGGACCAATTATTTAAGGATGGGAATCTTCACATGGTACAAAGGATACAGTGCTATAGTACAGCTTCACCACACTGCCCTTGCTTGCCCTTACCCTTCAACAAGGGATGCCCTATACTCTGGTCAAGAAGCCAAAATATTTCAACTTATTCATGGATATGTTGGGCCTACTATTACATCTATAGTTTGGATCTAACAACACCAACAATAAGAATATTTCCCACACCTTCAACCATTTACTTTCCTCTTTCTGCGACTTTGCATTTTTAAGACCCTGTTTATCAATATCTCACCACCACCATGCACTCTTTTTTTCACTCCCTCATTTTCATTCATTAATATTTGCACCTACACCTAAACATATATGATATATTGAATGCCACATAGGTTTGAAAAAGTTAATAATATTGAAAATGGTATGCGAAATTAAGGTTAAACATAGTTAAGAATTTAAAAGAAATTACAAAGGAAAGAAAGGAAGGAACTTTTGGATTTGAGAGGATGGGGTGAGCTAAATAAGAAAGGGGTGGGGTAAGCGGTTAACCAGCTTGCAATGAGTTGTGGAAAGAGATACGTCATAACTCATTGCAACTTCTACTTGTTACATTGCCTCAATCTTGGCCCTTCGTACCTCTCTCTACCTGCCACTATTTCCACTACTTTTTGAGTTTTGTTTTGACCTATTTGACTCAAAATGCCTGCAACTTGTACCAAAGTTCATAGAGGTGCATTTTTTTATTTTTTATTTTTAAAAACTTCTCTCTCTTTTAATTATACACCTAGTCTTGGAATAGAGTTTTGGTTTCATATGGATGTGGCTTTGTCTTCTCTTTGAAACCTTCAAATTTATCTCAGGCTTTATTATTAAATGGCTTCTGGATTTATAGGCCGAACTTGCCTGAGCATACCCAAAACTAAAACAAATGGGTTGTGTTCATGGGCCTGTTTTGTTTTTGGCAAGTACTGGTGGATAAAAACTGTATAGTAAGTACACTGTCATGGGTCTTGAATCGTTGATACACCCTAGGCCATAAATTACAACTGTCATTGTTGATAACAAGAGTTAGTACGATGCCAATTCCACACACCAACCTTAAAGTCCAGTCTTCTCTTTTCACATCTAGTAACACTTGAAGAGAAGAACAATTTCCAGTTTTTTCTTTTAAATGAACTTTTAAAAAAGAAACAAAAAAACCAAATTTAAGAGGTTTTTTATTTTTATTTTTCATTTTCATTATTCATTTCATTTATAAGATTTAAACCAAAGTTTACTTTCTTAATTAAATATTGAGGTTCAATTATTAGTTTTGATATGAAGTCACAACGAAAGATATTACTTAACTCTTATAGAGATTGATTTAGACATATTTTTTAAGACTTGAACTCAAAATAACTTAAAAGACAGCTTAATATTTTTTTAAAAAAAATTATATGATTTATTTAAGTAATATGTACACTCTTTGTGATAACAGTTGATGAAAAGGTTTAAAAAAAAAACTGTTACTTCGTATGCGATAACTTTTGCTTTGAGGTTTTGAAAATAAATAGTTTATTTATACATATTTACAAATGATGAATATGTTTGGTGGTAGCTCTTTATCTTTATAGGGATGGATATACCTGCTTATAAAAAAAAATGATGATTATGTTGGAGTTTTGATCATATGCATGAGATCAAGTATTCTGATTTTGGTGTGATAATTGAATATTATAAAATATATTTGGGCTTTACATTTGAAAGAATTTTGTAACATTAGGTGTCTAAATTTGTTGAAAAGTGATTATGTAAGATAATATAAATTCAGTATGTCAATTAAGAATTGATTCATATTCAAATAATATAAATACTCCTTGTATGAATTTGTTGACACGATCAAACTCTATAACGTTACTCAAACATAAATTTATTGAGAACAAAGCATTATTTGCATATATCATTTTGATTTGGTCAACTTATACTCATTTTTGACAAGAGTGTGAAAAGGTTTTGGAACTATATTTTTCCTATCCGACTTGTTCTCTCCTTTCGTGAAGCACAAAGGCTCTCAAAGGTATACGTTTCTCCCTTTTATTTTAATTTCTTCAAATTCTTGAATTCAAATTTTAGAACAAGACTATTTCCTGATAATCATTGGTCACGATGCATGCTTGTTAAGTGTTAATAAAAAAAAAAAAATGACTCGGAATGATAGAGAATTTATTACAGAAGAATGCAAACAATTTGCTGAAAGCTCGTTTTAACATTTTCGTTTTCAACGCGCAATGAATTTCTTCGATCTTCAATGGGTACATTTTTGTTTGTTTTATCTTTTAGTCGAATTAAATTTATTTGTAAGGTTATTTGCTTTTGTTTTAAAAGAATGTCCTCAAAGAAAAAAGTACCAGAGTTTTGTCCAATAAATTAAGTAATATATGCGAACTATTGTAAACCTCTTTGAATGTAATTAATTATTATAAATTTAAAAAGGAAAAACAGAAAAGAATATAACAATTTTAATATTTTTTAACGTCTACTTATTATTAGTTAATTTGCCCGTGCATTTGTTTATTTGTATTATTTATGATTATTAATTAATTATCTTTCAAAATATATTTTAAAATAAATTACTTTCATAGTTTCATATATATATATATATATATAATTCCCGAAAATATTTTTCAAGAGTAACTTTTTATAGGATTAAAAGTATGCGTTAATAAGTACAACACATAATTAAAAAAAACTCATGGTAATTGTACTATCAGTACTGCGAAGTCGAGCTCCGAGCTCGGCACCACAGTGCAGGACGACCTCGGACACGCGCTGTGTGACGTCAGCTCGTCATCCTAATCAGATCATAACTGATCTCGGGCCCACGACCCAACACAACCCTAATTCACACCAAGGTACGTGCATTATTTATACGAGACTCACACTCATACAAACCCTAACTTTAGCATCAGAGTCTCTTTTGCAGGTACCACCCCCATCTTGGAGCAACAAGCGTACCCGTGAAAGAGGCTCACCAATCTTACTCGACGGATCACCTCTACGGCAGATTTCCGGTAAGAACATTTGGCGCCCACTGTGAGGCCGATCAAGACAGCTCTTATCGGCCACGCTTATGGTATTCACCAGAAGCCATAGCAGACGCGCAACAAACGATTTTACAACCACCATGGATAACGAAGCGGAATTGAGAAGGCTGATCGAACAGGTCGAACAGATGCCGCAACAACACGACGCCGATCTGCAAAACATGCGTGCCCAGCACGAAACCGACCTAGCGGCGCTACGCGCTGAGAACGAGCGAAATGAAGCTGATCTAGCGGCGCTACGCGCTGAAAACGAGCAGATTCGCGCCCAGCTCCCTCGGTGCCCCTTTGATCATCCTCCTGAGGCGAGCAACCTCCACGAGGAAGAAGGGCACTCGGTTTCTCAGCCCCGAACTGCGACTAGGGCACCGACTCCACGACCGGCCGCGCACCGGTCTCATGTTCCGACGAACAAGTCGTTCCATGAAGTCAGCAAAGCCCTAACTCATGTCACAGGGGGTCAAGCAACCTTCCTCCGTCATCCATTTGTGGATGGCATCATGGAGACACCACTCCCTCAGGGTTGGAAGCCTCTCCACCTCGATTGTTATGATGGCACGACGGACCCCGACGAGCACATCGACGTATATACGACACAGGTAAACCTCTACACTAACAATGATGCTATATTGTGTAGGGTTTTTTCAACCTCGCTCAAAGGGGCCGCGCTCAACTGGTACACCCAGCTACCTGCCGAGTCAATTGACAACTTCAGCACCCTGGTCAGACGGTTCACAACACAATATGCGACGAGCCGACCTCATCACATAACATCAGCTTCCCTGGCCAGTCTCAGACAGAGTGACGAGCCACTCCGGACGTTCATGGAACGATTCGCCGCCATCCCGGTAAAGATCCGAAATTTGAATCCCGAGGTCGCACTGCACTCCATGCTCATGGCGTTGAAGCCAGGATCTTTCGTCGATAGCCTTTGCCGACGACCTCCTCCCGACATGGACGAGCTCCGAGCTCGCGCTGTTGGGTACATCCAGATGGAGGAGCATGCCGAGTTCCGCAAGGCAATTCGCGACAAACTACAAGGAAAGCAAGACCAAGGTCAGGCCACAAACATTTAAAGTTGACGACCGTGTTTGGCGATTACGGGGAAAAGCAACTCCATTCCCATACATTTTCGGTATTGGCACATTAACCATGACGACTAAAGAAAAGTAATACATCACAATGATTATTGCTTGATTTACTTAGTCTTAAGTAATAAAATCTTAGCGATTATCTCAATTTCTTCTTTATTTTGTGTGTTTTTTG